CACGCCCTTTGTTGTGACGTATGCTCTCCGGGGGACTTAAGGCCGGTGGTTAGATTAGGATTAGTGTTAGGTTATGTTAGTCTTGGGTCACTGACCACATCCCCCCATTTAATTAACTCTCGTGTTTAACCACCAAGCCAATGACATGTGGCCCCCCTGGTCGCTTTGACTAGTCAGTGCTGACTTTTTTAACAGGTGGGCCCCTCTATCACTGGGCAAATACCGCTTTGACCTCGGGGAAAACCATCCAGGGACTGATTTTGTCCGGTATGAGATTGTTTAGGGGGTGAAAGGAGCAGAAAAAAAGATCAGGAGGTTATGTGAACCACCAACTTTGTTCAGGATAGTAAAAAGGACTTTTGTCTTTCAAAAAATGGTCAAAAGAATTATTTAAAAATGATTTAGTGTATACAAAAGATGTACAATGTGTATGAAAAAAAGTAGAAATCAAAACATATATTGGAGGAAATGTTAATAACATTTTAAACATGTATAAAATACATTCCTGATGTATAAAAAATATACAATGTGTATGAAAAACTAGACATGAATAGGAAAAAATACCTGAAGAAAACATGTGAAATCCAAAATAGAAACGAAAAGAGACAAAGAAACAAAGAAAAAAATAATAAAAGGATAAATGAAAGCCCCCAAATAAACCCCAAAAAAGATGCAAAGTAGTGAACAAACTAAAGAAAAAACCCGGGCGCAACTACATTATTAGCCTGGCCGAAATATCGCCATGCTGTAGGCAAGCTTTTTTTATTTTCGTGTCGCGTTGTAGATGAGCTGCGTAATAGGAATAAGAACAGGCGATAGTAAGTTTCCGCGCAATTTGTCAAAATCAAAGTTGGGTTTAGTAAATTTGAAACCTTTATTTCTCTCAGCATTAGTGTGTTTGGGCCACTAAGGTCGATGTGGCTTATTGATGGGCTACCCGTTTGAGGTACCGCAGAGCAGCGGAAAAATCAGGTAGTTCGGTGCTTTCCTTATTGGGACACTGAGGCCCACGGTGTGCTCAGTAAGCTGGCCCACCCATGGTGCGATCCGTACCTTTCCCCGAGGTCACCCTCTCCCCAGATCTCCGGCGTTATTCCTATGAGACTGGGTGGTTCCTATACTGTGTGTAGGTCGCCCGCACATAGCGCGCACCACCCACAACTGCTGGAATTTCTATGGGTCGGCCCATTAAATTCGGGATTTACCCCCAACTGATTTTGGGTAGGTTGTAGGACCTTCCTTGAACCAGATTTTTCTGGTTTTTTCCTTTTCGTATTTTCTTTCTTCTTTTCTTTTTTTTCCTTTTTATGTTTTCCATTCATTTTTTCTTTTCTTTTTGCGTTTTCCTTATCATTTCCTTTTCCTTTCCCTTTTTCTTTTTCTTCTTAACCTTTTCACCTTTTTGTGAATTTTCTTTTCAAATCCATGAATATATTTTTTTCATCAAATTCAAATAATCTTAGTTGAATTTAAATGTTGTTCATTGAATTCAAAATTTGTTCATTGAGATTTAAAAAATGTTCATCAAAAATCAAAATGTTTTACAAAATTTCTTAAAATTCGAGATTATTTCATCAGTTTCAACAAAAATATTCAAATTCAAAAAATATCATGCATGTTTTTTATAATGTTCATCATATTCAAATTTGTTCAGCATAATTTTAAAAAATGTTCACCAAATTTAAAAAAGATTGTCAATATCCAAATTCACTAGCATTATTTGAAATAAAAACATTTTTTAAAATTCATGAACATTATTCGAATTCGGAGACATTTTTTGGCTCCACAAACTTTCTTGAAATTCGCATTGTTTTTTGAATTTTGTAAAGTTTACGAAATCCCGAATTATTTTAAAAAGAAAATACAAAAATAGAAGAAAAATGAAACAAGACAATAGGGGGCTTCACGCTGCCGCTCATGGGCCGGCCCAAAATAGGCGCGCGGGGACAATGGGGGTGTGCGCGCGTCCGCTCCGTGGCGTATGCTGCACCGTATAGAAGGACCCTTGACCCTGCTCCAGCGAGGCGCCGGCGACTTACCTCTACCGAGCTCCGAGGACGGCAGCGCGGCTCTGTCGGCACGTCCAGCGCCAACCCTGAGCCAGGCCTTCAGCTTGGGGCACGCCCTCGCTTGCGTCCCTCAATGGTATGCGTTGTGCCCACCTTCCTGAGCAAGAAGAAACCCATCCTCTGTTCCCGGTGAGCTGACCATTAGCCTAAACATCCCTGCTACATCTACATTTACCCTCCCCATTTCATATCAATTTCTCGATTCACGCCAGAAGAAATAGTTTGAATCAAGACAAATTATTTGCTCTCATGGATTTGCTATGCCTGTGCCAGAATTTTCTTGCTAAATGGCCTCTATAAAGTTTTTTTTAGATTGGTGATGCTAAAAAGGAAACAAGTATTTTCTGGTTCATTGATTTCCCTGGGCGCCATGGTTTTGTTGTTTCAAGGGTCATATGTATGTCAGTGCAGGGAATACTCAGCTCGTTCGCAAGCTCTGCATAATACCGATTTTGGTTGCACTGAAGTCAACCTGAAATAGAAGTGTTACTTCCAGCGATTCGGTGCCAACACTCATCTGCACCCGATTAGAAAAAAATTCGAAAAAAATACTAGAAAATTCCAAAAAAAAATCCATGGTAGAAAATTTATTGCGTGATGTTCGCTCCAAATATTAGCTCATTTGGACATCTGAGTAACTCTTAGCAAAAAGGACAAATCGGGTCAAAACAGTACGTGAACAGTAAACTGTTTTATGGACCCGAAATTTGTCTTTTTCGCCGAGAGTTGCTCGGTTGTCCAAATCATATGAAAATTGGGTCGGACCTCACGCACCAAATTGTCTGCCATGGGAAAAATTGGAATTTTTTGAATTTTTGTAGTATTTGTTTTGAATTTTTTATTGAACACGGGTGCAGATGAGCCCGGGCTCAGAAAAAGATTTTCGAAACACTCTCAATACTCTGGCTTTTGAGGCAAGAAGCTACTTCTGTGTTTTTCTCAGAATGGAACATTAGCATCTTCGAGAACCAGGCCATACAAACTGCTAGCTCTGTCCAATGAATAATGACAGGTGTACAACCTTGCGTCGATGTAAGTTTTGTCAATTATATATTTTATTTTTGCTACGTCTAAGCGTTATATCATGGGAAAAGGTTTAAATCAACTACATTTGTTCTATCTTTGCTTTCCATGGACAAATACTCTAGTAGCTTATTCCGCAAAAAAAAAACTCTAGTAGCTTCAATTTTCCTTGATTCTAATCGCTTGCGGATTATCAGTTTGTTTTAAGGTTCTTGTTTGTCGGCTGCCAGTTTATTCTTGATGTGCTACAGATACTATTACTAGTGGCTCAGTGATATTTGTAAAACTCATCTGTTTTCAAAGTTTTGTAGCAGTAACCGAAATATTTTTAATATGCTATTGGCAACTATTATTAATGGTTTAGTGATTTTTTTTTCAAAGCCACCTATTATTAATTTCTACGTATCACAAAATAGATAACGAGTAGCTCTCCGCGATCACTGTTAGTACCGTCGGTATGCTCCTCTGTAGTCCGTGAAGCCGCAAGGTAGATCGGGTGTGCCCAAGTATTACTGTCTGGGGAAGTATTCTGAAGACAAACAGAATGAATCAAATTCAAACCTTGGGAGCCAGATAGGGTGGACGGATCATCCAGTGGACAAATAGGGGATATAGTGTACAAGAAACCTGCAGAAGCAGCACGGCTCTTGACCATCCCACTGCTACCAGAGCTTAATTTAGGGCCTCAAGATATAGTAACCGCTATGCAACATGCCTGCTTAGTCCTCTTCCATGTCCATCCGATCAATGTCTTTGTGTCCTTTTCACTACTAACAACACTAGCAGCATCGTTAAAGGTTCGTTGAGGAACTTACTGGCTTGCTCCAGGTACTTGTCCATGCGTGGCGTGGCCAAGAGCCGCATGTTCTCAATGTTGCGGCCCCTCGTCACGAAACGTTGCCAGATGTGTGAAGACTCGGATGGTAACGTGTAGGGGCGGCCCTGCTTCTCGTAGGTTTCTGGTGTTTCTAAGAGCTCCTGCAACTCGGTCCTGAGCAGCATGTTCTGAGCCTCCACTAGCTTGTGCTGGGCATCGAGCAGCATGTCGTTTGACACAGGATAAACCTACAACTTCAGTTATGGAGAACGGAGGGAGTATTGCGTAATCACTCGACTAGGAAAAACGCGAGCAACCCAGCAGAGTGAGACTTCTTCAGGTCAGGCCGGCCAGGGTTTCAATGAAATGCAAGAAAACACATGGAGGAGGCCAAGAAGTTCCACGATGACCCAACCACGCAGCCGCCGCCGGTGGACGGCGAATCAACAGTTGAGACGCTGCCAATGGCGTATATGAATGCGTCAAGTGTAAAGTGTCTAATTAAGCTAAGCAGGCGTGCTAAGCCGTAGCGCACTTCGATTAGTTTGTTTATTATTCTTCTACAGGTATTCCCACCCCCTGTGTTGTATAGTAAACTTCAATTAGTTTTGCACTCGAAACCCAAGTTATAAATCGGACCAAATCCATTATTACAACAGATTACATCAGAAACCGGCATACTGATTGCACCAGAGCAATATTGTGGACAAGATTAAAAATATTGAAAGAGAAAGTCAATGTTTTCGTGTTGCTTAGGCAGTTGGCTTGTCATTCTCACACGTTTTTGCTAGAAGCGCAAGTTATGTATTCCATGGGGTGCTAGGCCAATAATAAAGATTACAAATAGATGTAGTTTACAAGGATACATTGACTTTCAGGTGGGGAAGCTATCTCCCCTGGTGACCGTTTGAAAAGAGCAAGGATACACGTTTACTGCCGTGTGTCGCCCACCTTTGAACATATCGCCATCAATAGTTTGGAGGCTTATATTTGGTGAAGAATCTCTATAAGACTTGCAGAGGCTAGTCAATTTGTCCAGAGTCCATAGAGATCACCATCAACTTCCATCATCGACCGTCTTCTTGCTTGCCATGGAGGCTGCCATATCCGTAGTCACGGGTGAACTAGTGAGTCGTTTCATCTCCTTCCTCAAAAACAAGTACAACTCCTCCTTGAGCCATGCACAATCAGAGAAGATGGAGGAGAGATTGCAGCACCTCCTGATGAGAGTCAGCATAGTCATCGAGGAGGCAGATGTGCGGTACATAACCAACTCTGGGATGTTGTTGCAGCTCAAGATGCTCTCAGAGGCCATGTACAAAGGATACCGCGTGCTGGACACCCTGAGGTTCCAAAACCACCAAGAGAGTGCATGCTTTGACGAGGTTAGAATCAACGACTCATCTAGCAACAACTTGTATTTATCCATTCCATTCAAGCGTTCTCAGACAAAAACTGAGATGGATGACAAGGCCATTCGCCTCGAGTCAGATGGTGCCTTGGAAAGCTTAGAAATTGTTGTTGCTAACATGACAGAATTTGTTGTGTTTCTGGGTGGATGTGAGCGCATGTCTCGTAGGCCATATGACGTTTATCTTTACACCAACAACTTCATGTTCAGCCGACATGCTGAAAAGCAAAAGCTCTTGAGCTTCTTGTTGGAGCACACCGATCTTCATGCACCTGCAGTTCTTCCAATCATAGGTGGTGTTGGAGTTGGGAAGAAAACATTGGTTGCTCATGTGTGTGCAGACGAAAGGGTTCGCCCACAATTCTCCTCTATTATGCACTTGAATGGAGACAACCTCTTGATGGTACTTGACAATGGATGGACCATGTTTGGGATGATCTTGGTAGTTATAGAGTTTGCTTCCGATATAGGCGACGATGACTGGAAAAAGTTTCACTTGTTTCTCGTAAGAATGAACAGAGGAAGCAAGATCATCATCATAAGTAAACTTAAAAGATTAGCCCGGTTTGGATCGGTGCAGCCTATTTTCTTAAGTGTTTTGTTTATGACGAGTTTAGGTATCTTTTTAAGACCCTAGCATTCGGGAGCGTAGACCCCGCAGAACATCCACGACTACTGCAATTAGCAGATGAGTTTGCCAATCAGTTGCACAATAAGCAAGGTTCACTTGTAGCAATGAATACGTTCTCACATGTGTTGAGAATGAACCTCACTATTCAGTTTTGGCGTTGCATATTTGACAAGATGACAATGCATGTTAAGAGAAACCTCTTCATACATGGTGCGCACCCCAGCAAGCTTATGGAACTAGGCCTTCCAGTCGACATAACGGACTTTGCTTTGCATCCACTTACCATGACAAGTTATACAAGTAATGTTCCAATCAAGGAGGAATCACCAAATGTGACATTTGCAGAGCTTCTAGCGGATCCGAGTGTTAGACCAGAAGGAGACTTCATTCTAATTAGATATGAATCAAGGATACCCCCTCATAAATCATTTGTTCATTTGGTTACAAGTCGTGCTCAGGATACACATGAAGGTAGTAGTAGTACCTTGTCAGGGAGGAAGCGACGTGGTGTGCCAATCTAATTTTGTTTTGGGACTTGTGTAATGTAACTCTTGTTGTATTTTTGTATACATGATAAACATATGTGTTCATGTATTATAGATATCAATTAACGTACTGTAAATTTCTAATATGTTTTTGTTTTGGGTGGAGGGATTTCCCGCCTGAATAAATTTCAGAATAAGGCATAGTTCCAGTGTATCTACTATATAACTAAAACAGAAGACGTGAACCAACCCGTGATTAGATGGTTAGGTGAACAATGGTATCCTCAACCCACTAGGTTCAAGTTGATGATGTGCTCGCTCAGTATCTCGAAGGTGCTCATAGGGGTAGGATGTGTGTGCGTTTATAGGGTTGAGCATATGTGATTGCACTATGATAAAAACAAAATACAAATAAGTCAACACGTTAATCCATAATCCATATAAGCTAAAATTATTTTATCCATTGATCTTGCGTATGACAGCCCGGATTTAAAAGTCTGAAAGATATGACAATATTATTCATGTACGTCCTTAGGAACAAACAAATATCAATCGGATTGTAACAATATACCCCACGCGTTGTTGCGAGAATTGATTGCAATACTATATTTTAGTGATTTGATTGTATGAACTAAAAATTAGAGTAAATGTTATATATTATGTTTGACTACTGGAGTAGAAAAATATTTGAAATCAGGGACATAATATGATGAAAAACCTTTTCCATGCATGTTAAGTGGACCTTTGATGAAATGACATGTGCAGTGAGATAAGATGTGCGCATGGGATCAAATAATAATGAAAATCTTTTTCCCATGCATGTTTGATTGGCCATGAGGTCATATGCGTGCATGTTACGATAACAAAGATCACGGGCATAAACTATTTAGGTATATAGTATATAGGATATGTCATGTATACAACATTTTCACACAAAAAAGAGAGCATCTGTACATCCGTTAGGAAGAAACAAATATCAATCGGATTCTAATGTGCCTGATTAGAAGGACAACGTGCAACTGTACAAGTATAGACATGTGTATATAACAAAGAACTCTCAGAAATAAACAAATGAACAGCGAAAACGTGTTAGCATAGGATAGGTACCAATTCTTGATTCGATTCATCCTATATGGAGGGACTCCATCAATAGAACTCCACGTGGAGTATAGGATAAAAAGAACTCTACATAGAGTCGGTCATGGCAACAAAATAGAAACACACTCAGCCGGCCACATCCAAAGCACGCGCAAGAGTCAGAATCAACCAATTCTAGACAAATCAAAGTCTGCAAATCTGCTATCCGACCAGAGCACCACCAAGAAAATCAAAGTCTTCCAAAATCTGCTACCCGGGCAGAGTAAAACCAACAAAATCGAAGACTGCAGAACAAATTTGCTACCTGACAAAAGTACCACCAAGAAAATCGGGTCGTCCTCCACGGGTGCTTCATCGACAAAATCGGGTTGTCCTCCGCGGATGCTTCATCGAACCGCCATCGCCGCTTGCCCGATCTGCATGCCGCCATGCCCCTATGCCGGTTCGAGGACTTCCCCGTCCTCGCTCCGCCCCGGCCGTCGATGAGGACCTACCTCGGGGTCCGGCAGCGGCGGTGGGGGACGTGGATGGCCGAAATCATGTATGGGGAGACCCATACTCGGCGGTGGCTCAGGAGCTACCATACGGCCGAGCTCGCAGCCATTGAGGACGACCGCTGGCAGGTCCGCTACCATGGCGCCGCTGCCCGGCTCAACTTCCCCTTCGGCACGGCTCTGGTCCACCTCGTCCCGCCAGAGCCAGGGGTGGTGAGCTCGGCCATGGCGCAGGAGGACCGTGAGGCGAGGAAGCACCTCAAGGGCAAGGCCGCCGACGAGGCCTACATGCAAGAGCTCCGCCAGCAGCACCCGGAGCTCGTGGAGGCAGAGCGGGTGATCTTTGCCGATGCCGGTGACGAGGTTATCGTTATCTCCTCCTTCAACGAGGTCAAAGGCGTCAAGGACGGCGGCGCAGAGGGCGGTGAGGAGGGCGACTTGGCTGCGAGGACGAGGAGATCGACATCGACAAGTGGAGGAGTGTCTTCCCCGACTACGAAGACGACAACACCGGCCTGGACCCAAATCGCAACACACCGTACCTGGCGAGGAAGGATTGGATCGACCTCACATTCGACCGAAAGTAGTTTAGTTAAGCTTAGTTTAGTTTAAATTTGTGTTTTTATGTTCGGTTGTGCAAAACTATATATGTTTATATTTGAATGCACGCTAAATTCGGTTAAAATTGCTTTGAATTCGATCAAATTGAAGTTTACTCCGTTAAGTTTAGATGATCGGCTAGAAATGGAAAAATATAGTGGAGTATATATATATATTCCAGTAAGGGTTTTACTCCGTTAACTTATAGGGGATCGGCTAGAGATGCCCTTAAGGCACAAAAAGCAGAGAAGTTAGGTAATGCATCAAACTTCTTCTTAGATATGATATCACCACTTCTCGAGGAACGAGACCCTCAAGCATATAGTGACAACTGAGTAATATCAGTTACAATGGAACCATATCTATTTATGTCTCTCAACTTCTTCGGGTCGCTAACTTTATTTTGCTTTCACGACAATGGCTATAAGAGATCTCTTACACGAAAATATTAAAATGATCATGTTTTGATTGACACAAACTAACTACAAAGGAAACTGACAAGTATTACTGCGATTATTGTGATATATATCAAGAAATTATAACATGTGCTAACTACATTCTACTAATTTGAACAAGAACTTTCATATTACATATACTCTGCATTAATAACAGTGGTATGGAAAAATTTCTGAACTCATTGGATGGAAAATCTGAGAAGCGTCAAGTAAACCATTGGATGGAACATAGCGGTCGAACCCGACTGCACAGCTCTCAACCCAGTGCCATAAACAGGAGACCACGCCAATCAGGGAAACAGATCTCTCATATTCTCCAGTAACCTCCCGGCCCGGTTACCGCATTGCCTCGCGTCCTCACTTCGAGGGGGCACAGAATTCGCGGTAGGAACGCGTGCCCCAGCCTCGGTCCGATCGGGCCTCCAAGAGTATCTCCTTCCCACTTTTAATGATGCACGGGTAGGCCACTCTGGATTTGGTGCAGGATCTAGCA